ACTGTATTATATACATTCTGAACCAAATGGTTACCTAACGAAGATTTTAAAATGAGAATGGATGCCACAATTGCAGAGCGGTAATGTTTTTTTTTACATCCTAAAAAGAAAAGCTGCCATTTGACAGGATAATATATTTTCTACAAACTGTGTACTGTCAAATGGCAGTTTCGCCTTCAAAGCAATGCATTTCCTGCCCATTTTTTGGCAAAGCGTATGAACTTCGCGCGTATAAAATTCTCGCTCGACAGCAGCAGATAACGCTAATGTGTTCTCCGACTGCCTTACAACCGTTACCTGTGCTCAACGCGCATCACCGCTTTGCCTAACAACATCATTACGACTGCGCTCGCAAAAATAAGCAACTATCGTCTGGCTGAGGCCGAGCATCGCGTACGTTATTGCATTACGTGTCCGCAGGTCCGGCACCTATGTATGCATATATGTATGTTGAACTTCTTTCACACCATACATAGCCAACCGTCATGGCTGGGTCAGTGAGTCGGTCAGTGAGTGGGTGAGTATGCATGTTAAACTTCTTTCACACCGTACGTAGCCAACTGTGAGTGGATCAGCGAGTGCGTGCGTGTATGTACGTGTTGAACTTTTCGCACCGTACATATGCAACCGTGAGTCGGTCAGCGAGTGGGTACATATGTATGTTGAACTTCTTTCACACCGTATGTAGCCAACCGAGGTGATTTGGTCAGCGAGTGGGTCAGTGAATGGATGAATGTATGCACGTTGAACTTCTTTCACATAGCCAACCGTGCTAATCGCACGCACGTCTTGCGGTTGGCAAAACAATGTTACAAGGGAATGCTTTTCAGAAGCAATAATAGTCGGGCTCATTTATTGGTGCAAGTGTATGCATGCCCTCTTTGCCCGTGAGACATGGGGGAGTGGGTCCAATCAAGGGCCCACAGAGTACAGGCAAGTCTGTGACTGCTGCAATACCCATCTGTTGAATTGCTTATAATTCAGTAATTTAATATCACTTTGAAAAGTGTAAGCCTAACAGGATGTGTCTAGACAGATTCCTCGCCAGGCATTTTTTTTTTATCCCATCAACCCAAACGAATATTTTGCAATCGCATAACATTTTTTATCCTTGGTGGTTTTGCAAATCATTGCCAAATAATTGACAATTGATGGGTGCTTATGGCTCGCTTAACCTTATTTTTCAAGGACAACAATATTTTAAAGTATTTTTTTTTACATGTGTCTGATTATTTCAAGATTAGGAGAGACACCTTTCAAGTCACAGACCCAAGAGCATAACCAGAGTCCAAAGTCTACACTTTCAGACACCACTCCCAGGAGCCGGAACATTTGCGCTGGAAACCCCGTTCGTGTGGCAGGAGCGAGCGATACGTTGTAACTGCGCTGTCTTGTAGTGATTTCCCCAGACCCCTGCTTACGTATTATACGCATCGTGCAGCAAAACTAACTTCAAACATTAGTTTTAGATGGGGTGGGGGGGGGGGAAGCATTATCCCACAGATTGTAAATGGATCGCAAGAAATTGGCTCAAGAAAGACTTCAGGACATTAAAGATGCACATAGCCCACTCATTAAGATGCAAATCACGCGCAGCTACGAGCGTGTTTTCCGATTATGCAATGTGGAGGAGGTAAAAAGCAGTGCGATGCACTGCACGCAGCAGCAGCAACAACAGACAAAAGTGCACCTGTTGGGTGACTGCAACACCCGTCTGTGGCATTGGGTGGACCCATGGAAGACAGTTGCTTAAAAATAAAAACACTTTGCAAATTATTCAGCCATTTGCCAAACTGCTTCCGGATGAAGGCCTCCCTCACGCCATGATGTCTGCAGGAGTTGTTTGACCACGCTTCATCACGCCGTCTGTGAGCGTGGGTTGCTGAAGCGTCGGGGTACAAGACCAGTTCAGATATCGAGGTCTCTACCCGGCTCTTGGCGCTAAACAAAGTGCTGCCACCCCCCTCCCCCACCCCTCAGTGCCACTCCGTGCGTTTAGAATGGTTTGGAATCGGAACACAAAACTCTCCCCGTGGCTACATGTATACGTACCTCGGATGGGCACCTCCGATTTGCACGGTTGGCTAGGTACGATGCGAAAGAAGTTCAACACGCAGACATATATACATGTACACAGGCTTGATTATGTGCCGCAGGAGGTGAATGTAAAAACGAACATTGAGATTGCAGTTTGGAAGCCAGATAAACAGTAATACGTGACGCAGGAAAGCATGCTTCTGGCGGTAAATGTGCAGCCAGGGTCGTGTCCGAATGTCCTGCAGCCCTCAGACTCCAATTGCTAGAAATGTTAATGATTCAAGAAGGAGAGAACTATATTGAATATTAAATTGCATATCTCCGGCCACTTGTATACGGACACAAATCAATGTGAATTTCCTCTGCAAATGCTGTGTGCTTGGTACATTTTCCATTCATTGCTGGCCTACTTAAGAAATAAATGACGATGACAATATGCGTAACAATACAGAAATAAAATCATGAGACAGATCGGCATGGCTACGAAAGCGGAGATAAATTCGCATCGAATTTCTTGAAAACCCAAGACCTCCCTCGTATCAGAGAAATGCCCATCATTGGGGGCATCTCGTGAGAATTACGAACAATATTTTAAACTTGACTTACTTATAAAACGGATTTTTTTTTAATAATATCAATCTTACGGCACAGCGGGGTGTTCACCGACAATGAAATATACTCCACCCAGATATGTGTTGTCATGGTCTAATCCTAATCTTCAGGACACACTGTACAGCCGAGGGCATTTCCAACTAATCCTAAGACACTCAAATCCCCTTGGAACCGAGCACTGCTTCGTAAAACATACGGCTGTGAAAGGGCTTGCCATAGTGGAACAACATTTGATGTATTAGAAAAAGATATATTCTTTGTGACTTGGTTCCCATTTCAATGATTCGCTCTACATTCGACCTCCCTCCCCATCTTGTGATCTCATCCTGACATCCACCTTACTATTTTCATTTCCCTCTTGTTGTATCCTTTCATATTCTTTCCCCTCTTTCTCTTCCCCATCCTCCTAGTTCACAGCTGGCAAAACGTGTGGCTTCATACGTGGTATGTATAAAGTGCTCGCCACAAAAGAACCACAATGCATTGCTGATCTCGTCAAGGAGCATCAACTTCCAGGCAAACTCCGGTCATTCTGGCAGCGGCTTTTGGCTGCTGGCCATCGAACAAAGACGGTTACTGCATCGTGGCGTTTTCAGATGCGCTTCTGCGGCCGTCTGGAACGCTCTTCCTTCCGAATATTAGGAAGCCGCTTAAATCTAAAATTCGATTTAAAGCTTTCGTGACTGCAGGGATTCATCTTCTTGGTTCTTTCGGTAAAGTCACATAGAAGGGAAGTAATAAAATAATAAAAGTAAAAATATGTTTTATTTTTATTATTTTATTACTTCTTTTATTACTTCCCTTCTATGTGACTTCACTTAAATCTAGATTGAAAACACATTTCTTTACTCGTCCTGGAACCCACTCCTCATGCAATAGAAGATTCTAACCGTGTTGTTGCTGCCCCCCCCCGCCCCCCTCTGCACTTCACATTGTTATGGCAAACCGTGAACAAATACGAAGGCAGGGAAGCGATGCCGATGTATCCTGAGAATTGCAGCGATCGCTTGCAAGCTTTGACCGAGCAGGAGGGTCCTGAGCCAGGCCTGTGGTTGACTAATGAATGGATTTATTTAGGTGCACAGCAAAGACCAGTGTGTGTGTGTGCGTGTGGGGGCGTGTGACGGCCAATCAATTAATTGACGAGAACCGATTCTTGCACCTCGCGATGCTTGCACCGATTTGCGGTCTACGGGCGAGAATTCTTTTTGAATTCCTGCACATTGGTTGTGCCGTTGCGAGCAGGTTCAGATAAACCGAGCGGTCACTTAGGAGATTCCGGAAGTACCGTAAAGGGAAGCAAATAACAACGGCCGATTTTCCCCAAATCAAATCGCGATCTGGAATTTGGACGATTCACGTAGCGAGGAAACGCGTGGACGGCTGAAAGTGTGCAAGACGGCGTGTGCTCTCATGTTCCGAGGAACGTGAATATTTTCAGTGTGCACAAAAATGTAGCGGACAACGAATGCCAATTTAGCACCGTGAAGGGAGCAACATATGAATCAATTGACTCTTTAAATCGATTTGCGAAAGCAAGTTATGATGATGCAATAAAATAATAAAAATAAAACATGATAAAATAATTCTCACGACGTTTCGGCCACAACGCAAGCAGCCGTGATAATTATTTTATTATGTTTAATTTTTATTATTTTATTACTTCCCTTCTACGTGACTTTACCGAAAGAACCAAGAAGATGAATCCCTGCAGTCACGAAAGCTTTAAATCGAAATTTATGATGATGCATGGAGTCGTGAGGGGAGTTAAGGGTTGAACGCCGTCCACCGAGACATCGCATTTAAACGAGCAACGGCTTGTACGTGTGAGAGACGCTCCCCATATGGCTTAATTTGTTCACTGTTTACTTTTCCTCATGCAAAACATGAGCTCACCCAAATGCCACCGCATTCACATCTCATTGTGTCAATTTTCCCAGAGAAGAGGGGGGGGGGGTAGCAATTATTATTACAACAACAGATGCCAGAAAATACTTTAAGCCATGGGAAATATTAGATCGCTCGCGTGCCACGAGAAAATCACTAAACATCGACTCAACGGGGGCCCATGGTAGCCAATGACGCTTGTAGGTTATTCCCGCTGCACCCCCCCTCCTACACACCCCAGATCTTGCCATCGGCAGAGAACGTCACGAGAACGAGCATCCAATCAGATCTCTCGTAGAGCGGCCCGCAGAAGCAGACATTACAGAGCTTCGGTTGTGCATCGATTCTCCAGTGTTGTTTGCCCCCTGTGATTTATTCATCCCACCCACCTTCCCCCCTACCACCCTAGGCCCACCACAACCCCCCCTCCCCCACCCAATCTCGTGCTGGGCTGGAGGTCTCACCGGCGTAGGGCAGCGGAGCGTCCTTGTCGAGGGCGATGAGGGGAAGCTCCATCATGACGATCTGCTCCGTCTCCTTGAGCACGCCATGGTAGACGTCCTCCAGCCATGGCCGGTGCTTGTTCACTGCAAGACAAAACACAGCGTCGTTAGATGGCACAGGAGGCAATTACAGCCCCCCCTCTCTCACTCTACACGGTGGTAGCAGCAGTAGTAGATGTGTTGCAAAAAAAAATGAATGGAGCACAAGGCGAAACCGGACGAGGAGATGGCAGCCTGCTGAGTACACACACACACATACAGTGCACACCGTGCACACACACAGTGCACACAGTGCACACACACAGAACACAACGTTAACACAATGTTGTCCCAAGTCTGTCCGCATAGCCGCATTGGAGTGAATTAAAATCCACATGGAGTGAATTTAGGGTTAAAAATATAAGTTAACCACATGCATATACAGCGCGAAATTCGCACAAGCCTGACACGCACAAAGCGAGGGGAACCTGTACAGTGTATTGATTACTACGATTAGTCAGCATTATGGAGCTACTCTGGTGAGCCGCAACTCTGCTGCAATGCCACCGTGATGAAGGTGGTAACGGCGCAGCCCCGCAATTGCCTGCTCGCTCCACTGTTGGCGGAACGGGCCTCTCCACTAGAGAGGGACCTCTAGATACCCCCCCCCCCCCCCTCTGGAGGGTATTTTGGTTTCCTCTTCCACACTGGGAAGAGCTGGGGAGTATCCATTAACACTGCTGGGTGGACTGAGGTGGTGGGGTCGGGGGGGGGGATTAAAAAAAAACTTGCAACCATTATTTCAACTGACGCGTCTAGAGGTTGAATCGAACAGGCCACCTCTGGATTGCAAGTCCAGTGCGCTGACCGTTAGACCACAGCAGCAGCATTATCCCTCAAAATGATAGAAGCCGTTAATGAAAAAAGAATTTGTCTTGCAACACATTGGTGGCTGGCAGAAACAGCTGCTGCTGCTGCTGCTTGATGAAAATCGGCAATGAAGGCAGATTACTGCTCGAGACGCCATCACCTGTGCCACCAGAAAATAGATTGAGACCGCCCAACTTTCTTTCCAGTTTCCACTCACTGACTTGAGAAATTGCCAGCTTATTTCGTTGGCCCTTCAAGATCAAGAGGTCACCGTGGCCGATGCGGTTGCTACCCCCACTTGTTGCCATGCTTGCCGTGCGCTTTACAGCAGCGTAACAGTGCAACGGCTGGTGGCATTGCAAGGACGGCTCTGGCTATTATTGTGATGATCCGTAACAAGAGTGAAACCATCAAAAACGCAGTTTCCTCGCCACTTTATTCCAGACAATCATTGCAGTTCTTTCCATGAACTACGTGTGGCCAAGTTGTATAATATCTTAGCTTGTTTTTACACATATGTATAAACTGACACGTCCTGAAGAAGGGGCGTTGAGTTAAATCGATCCACAAAACTGGTTTGGGGATTTGTGTAAGGTGAACCTAGCTGATGTGTCACTGCAATAAGGGCCCCTGTCGTTTGCAAAACGATTCATTTGTGCCGCGTTCCAAGGCTGCTTAACCTAAATAAACTATAAAGTAAATACTAAATAATAAAAATATCATGACGTTTCGATCGCAACACAAGCAATCGTCATCAGGAGAATGTATTTATTTATTTTATTATTTAATTGTTATTATTTTTTCTATCAACGTGACTTTACCGAAAGAACCATAGAATATGAATTCCTGCAATCACGAAAGTTAAGTCAAAATCACATTTTTAAAATTATTATTTACTAAGTAAGGCCCACTGGGTAGCTCTTTTACTGGTAGGAACCTGGCCATCACAAATGATAGCTTCAACCAAGTGGTGGCTTATCATGTGGAAATTTACAGCAGCCAAATACACCAAATGATTAAAAATGTGGAGGGAGAAATATTCTCGCGACCACGGGGAGATTATGCAAGTTCCAAATATGCGCGTGTCAGGGTTGGGATCCTATCCACGACGTTCTAGATACCAGGCGAGGGAGATAAGATGGCCACCTTGACGCCCCAATTTATAAATCGGATATTCTGTACACACGAATATTTTAACCGGCAGCTTAACAAACATCCGCTTCCACAACAACAACAACCATTACACCACGAGCACACATCATGGCACTTAATAATCGTCCAACCCACCAAGGCGAAAAATGAAGGGGGCAAGCGAACCCGCCGTTAATAGCGTTGCCCCGGTCCACGATCCAGGTTGCGCGTTCGAGCTTTCATTTAGAAAGGCGCGCACTCACGCACGCAATCGCGATTCACACACGCATGGATCGTCCGTCGCTCTCGTGCCAGTCACAATAACGCCAGCGCCAGGACGCGTTCGGCGAATTTCCAGCACCTGTCAATTTCTGGGAGACAGCTTGCGCGCACAGCGCGCAAGGCGGCCGTGACGACGTTGCTGCGAGGGCCACAGGGAACGCGCTCGGTACGTTCTCGCCCGTTTATTTTTCCATCAACTCTCTGTACGCAAAATCATTTCGCGTCGCATTCTCGATGGGCTGTCACGTAAAATTTATGGGTTTTTTTTAAATGGACCTGAACGCTCTCTACGGGAGGGGGGGGGGGCAGCTTTCTAAACAACTTATTTTTTATTAACCGCCACCGCGTTTATTAAGCGAGGTGTGGGCTTGTTTGCTTGGGGAAAGGCGCAGCCCTGCAAGTGCCGGGCTGCGTCACTGCGGGCAGAAGAGCCTCCACTAGAGGGAAGTCAAGACAGCTCCTCTTCAGAGACGTGAGAATACCCACGCTTTACCCCACCACACACGACCCGCCCATTGATGAACAGTGGTGTATCCATTGATACTCTGGGGTGGACAGAGGTGGAAGGAATTAACAAACTATCCCCATTGTTACAACTGCTGTGCTGGGAAGTTGAACTGGCGACCTCTGTGTTAACCATAACACCCCATGACATTATCCCTTGTGTGTGTGTGTATATATATGCATGTATAAATAACAATTTGGAGTGGGAGTGTAGTGCTGAGCACACTGAACTGTGTTCCCGGTGACCCGAGTTTGATTTCCGCTCAGAGCCAAAATCAATGACGACTATCTTAACTGGTCCTAGGCATCCCCTATGTCGACTCAGCCTTGATTGAATGAGGACCTGGTGAGGTGTATAAACATCAGCATTGAGCAGACAATGTGCGCCGGTGGTGGTGCTGGCCACCCACCCCCTTGTGTGCTGTGCCGGCTTTAATTGGTGCTTGAAGGCTACACGGTGGATATGTTTTAAAAGAGAATCGACCGAAAATTTGAATGCAGTACTCCGAGACCTAGTGAGGATTTCCTGTAGAAAAAGCTTAAAATATATTACTGTTTATTATGACTTGATATTAATAATATGAAGAGTACCATGTAATAATACCATGTATTATTGATACCATGTATTATTAATATCAGTAAATATCAGTAAGGATGTAATTATTCCATGCATAATTGCTGTTCAACTCTGTAAATAAAAACTCCCCACTAATTAAAATCAACATCAACGTTTCTCACTTCATTTGATAAACAACCTTTAAGGTGCAAATAGCAATTAATTTGTGTCCACAAGAAATTTGGAACAGTTGGCTAGCACAGATCAATTTTCCACCACAGACCAGTTTTAATTGTTTCTGTTTACAAATTAGAGGCGATCAAGTCAACGCTCTTCAATCCGTCAGTAGGCACGACAGGACGTCACCTGACAGTTTTAACTGGCCATCTAAAACCTATGGGGGAACAAACACAAATATCCGCCACTCTGCACCATGAAAAACTCAGGTGGGTGAAGCCCAGTCGAATCACAACTTCACGTATCTGACCATCACATTATCAGCGCTGACAAATCTGACCGCCCACAGCCAGCGCCGTATTTGTGGTACGGTGTAACTGTCACTTTCTGTAGATGTTCTGTAAATTCAAATATCCGCCCCTGCTCCGGTTCACCAGCCAGTCAGATACGCAACACTGCGCATGCCGTCGTAGCCATCAGAAGAATGCCACCAAAGAGCAATCTATAAAGAGCAATGCCAAAGCAAGTGGAAAGGTAACAGATGCAGAGTATGAGCACGGAGGAGATGTATGCATGTATGTAGAACTCTTTCGCACTGTACGGAGCCAACCGTGCAAATCGAAGGTGCGGTGGAAGGGCAACAAACTAAAACACAAAAGGCAGCTCTTAAGAAATTAGTTTTCAATCGAGATGATTCAAAAGTGCATAGCTCCAGTGGCTTCCTCATATTGGAAGGAAAAACGTTCCAGACGACTGCAAAGGCGCGTCCGAAAGTGCAGGATGCAGTGACCGTCTTTGTTCGATGGCCAGCAGCCAAAAAAGCCACTGTGAGGATGACCGGAGGTCACGTGATGTTCCTTGACGAGATCAGCGAGGTATTGCAGTTCGTGTGTGGCAAGAACTTCGTGTGTAATGAGTGCCACCTTATAAATAGATGGACTGACGAAGCCGAGGAGGTAGCATTTGATGGAGATGAATGACCTGGTAACATCAGCAATAGATGGGAGATGATGACGATTGCTAACAAATGAGGACTGCTGCCAGATGTTCATGGTGTCAGTGGCCTCCCCTTGAAGGGGGGCTGGACAGGAACTTTACAAACGTAAAGCACCAGGGATGCTGGGAACTTTGGTCACCACCATTGGCGCGATATTAACACCTTTGCCCGATATACAGAGGGTCGTGGGTTCGAGCCTGACCCAAACACGTGAATATTTGGAGTCTGCATGTCTCTCTCTCCGTTAGGTTGCGTGATATTTTCTCTGGGTCCTCCGGTTTTTCCCTCTGCATTTCAAGTATTTGGCGGCTATAATTTTGCACATGATAGGCCACTTCGTCAAGCTATAAGTTGTGGCCAGGTAAGGCCCAAATGAGCTATATAGCTCATAGGGGGCCTTACCTGGTAAAATAAAAATAGTTTTTAAATCCTTTATATTAAGTTCACTTGCACGCTTGCTTGCTTACGACCGTGAAAATCGTTCGGTCGTTTTTTAACCCACTTCCCGTGATCCAATCGAGCTGACATTTTGCACACAGACTCGTTGTGCGTGACAATTAATGTTCGTGAAATTTTTTTCCAAAATTT